GTTAGGTCTTATTAACTATTATGGAAAGTTTATCCCCAATCTCGCAGACCTAACCTTTCCGTTATTTGAACTGTTAAAAAAGGGACAACCAACAAAACTAAAATGGGAGCAACAACATGACGAATTGTTACAAAAAATTAAAGAAACTTTTTCCACATTCCCAATTCTCAGACAGCCAGACATATCAAAAAGATTTTATTTACAGTCTGATGCGAGTTTGCATACCATAAGTTCATTGCTAGCTCAGTTACATTCTAATGTTTTATTACCTGTATATTATATGTCACAAAAACTCACCCAAGCGCAACAGAAATATAGTGCGTTCGAGCGAGAGGCATTAGCTATAGTGATCAGTTTGAAAAAATTTCAAAAATTCCTAATCGGCAAAGAATTTACAATCATTACAGATAATCTTGCATTGGTAAAACTGCAGAACATAGATGCTAATAAAAACGCTAGAGTTTACCGCTGGGCATTGTTACTGCAACAGTTTAAATTTGACATTATGCATGTAAAAGGGGTTGACAACCACATTCCAGATATTATGTCTAGGTTATAAAGATAGTAAGCAGAAATAATCACAAGGGGAGTTAAATAGAAAAGGGAGATAATTATAGGTAACAAGTAAACAGAAATAATCACAAGGGGATTTAAATAGAAAAGGGAGATAATTATAGGTAACAGTCTAACATTACTAACGAATGTTTAATAAACGTGTTGTTACTAACAATTAATATTCAAATAAAATAAATGTTGTATGATGTGATGATATGAAAGTTATGATGTGAAAGTGATAATGAGGAATGGTGTATGAAGTCAAAATAAAACTAAGAGATGGTGTACGAGTTCATAATAAACCAACAGACACATTAGGTTATAATAGAAATTTTATTAACAGGCAATTACAGATGTTGCATTGATATATAGAAATTTGGAAAGATCTATGAGATAGTGTACAAAATGAAATTGCCACAATGCTAAAATGAGGAAATTCTGGCAAAGCTTTTTGGTATAAACCATGGTGAATGACGAAGACCAACAAGGAGTAGCAATCACTTTGAATGAACTGTCAACAGGAACTTGGTTCTATGGGGGACATACAGAACTGTGTGATTTATAAGTCTGGTTTTGGAGCCATTTTTGGACTTCCGCGTTGTTGAGGAACGCTTTGGGGTGTTGTTCAGTCTTCTTTAGGTAGACTGACTTCAGGACTTGATAAGTACGTCACAGAGCCTATAAGGTCATCCGCGTTGTTTGAGGAACGCTTTGGGGAGGTGATTCTGTTAGCATATTGCCAAGAACTGTCAAGGGGAGTGACAAGAGATGCTGCATATGTGGTACAAGTCAGAGAACCGATGGTAGAATTCCAGCCAACAATAAAAATATTAGTAAAATAAGGCAATATATTCTTATATGGAAATTTATTTAGGTTATGGAAAAAAAAATATTGCATATTTTTTTTTTTTAGGGGGAGAGAGATGTAATGATGTTATAAATAGGGATAATGTCAGGGGATGATTGGCATAATTGGGGAAGTCCCTGAGAGCATGGGTTTCACGGAGATATGGTGAAACGACAGGAAAGGGTGTGTCACGTGTGAATGGTGAGATCTGGGGGATTGAGAATCAGGCGGTCATTCGGTGACTGGGCCCCAGAGAGAAAGGATGGGAAATGAAGCTGTGAAGATGAATGGAGAATGACTAGAGCATGTGGATCTGAATCGGTGAGGAATGAATGATCGAGAAGGCCAGCTGTGATGGTACCCTGTTTGATTGTCAAAGCCAGCTGTGAATATGTCAACGTCTATTGTCCGAATGCTGTAAGTGGATTCACCTGTGATTTGTGTATTGAGCTAACGTGTAAATAAACTCGTGAAATGTGCCGCTGGTGTTAACCGTTGTTAGACGTTGTGTGACCATGAAGAGGATCATGTCTGCTTTGATTGAGTTGTGAACCTCTAGACCTCAGAGCCAGTGTTAACTCTGCACCACAGATAGCCAGTGTGGAGGAGACACAAAAGGGCAGTCATTACAGTGGCCTAGTAAAAGACCCTTCTCCACAACACACTGTATGGGATGGTGGCCCAGTAAAAGACCCTTGTCCACAACACACTGTATGGGATGGTAGCCCAGTAAAAGAACCTTCTCCACGCACACTGTATGGGATGGTGGCCTAGTAAAAGACCCTTTTCCACGCACACTGTATGGGATGGTGGCCCAGTAAAAGACCCTTCTCCACGCACACTGTATGTGATGGTGGCCCAGTAAAAGACCCTTCTCCACGCACACTGTATGGGATGGTGGCCCAGTAAAAGACCCTTCTCCACAACATACTGTATGGGATGGTGGCCCAGTAAAAGACCCTTCTCCACAACACACTGTATGGGATGGTAGCCCAGTAAAAGACTTTTCTCCACGACACACTGTATGGGATGGTAGCCCAGTAAAAGACCCTTCTCCACGCACACTGTATGGGATGGTAGCCCAGTAAAAGACTTTTCTCCACAACACACTGTATGGGATGGTAGCCCAGTAAAAGACTTTTCTCCACGACACACTGTATGGGATGGTGGCCCAGTAAAAGACCCTTCTCCACAACACACTGTATGGGATGGTGGCCCAGTAAAAGACCCTTCTCCACAACACACTGTATGGGATGGTGGCCCAGTAAAAGACCCTTCTCCACGCACACTGTATGGGATGGTGGCCCAGTAAAAGACCCTTCTCCATGACACACTGTATGGGATGGTAGCCCAGTAAAAGACCCTTCTCCACGCACACTGTATGGGATGGTGGCCCAGTAAAAGACCCTTCTCCACGCACACTGTATGGGATGGTGGCCCAGTAAAAGACCCTTCTCCACAACACACTGTATGGGATGGTCGCCTAGTAAAAGACCCTTCTCCACAACACACTGTATGGGATGGTGGCCCAGTAAAAGACCCTTCTCCACAACACACTGTATGGGATGGTGGCCCAGTAAAAGACCCTTCTCCACAGCACACTGTATGGGATGGTAGCCCAGTAAAAGACTTTTCTCCACGACACACTGTATGGGATGGTAGCCCAGTAAAAGACCCTTCTCCAAGCACACTGTATGGGATGGTAGCCCAGTAAAAGACTTTTCTCCACAACACACTGTATGGGATGGTAGCCCAGTAAAAGACTTTTCTCCACGCACACTGTATGGGATGGTAGCCCAGTAAAAGACCCTTCTCCACGGCACACTGTATGGGATGGTGGCCCAGTAAAAGAACCTTCTCCACAACACACTGTATGGGATGGTGGCCCAGTAAAAGACCCTTCTCCACGGCACACTGTATGGGATGGTGGCCCAGTAAAAGACCCTTCTCCACGGCACACTGTATGGGATGGTGGCCCAGTAAAAGACCCTTCTCCACGCACACTGTTTGTGATGGTAGCCCAGTAAAAGACCCTTCTCCAAGACACACTGTATGTGATGGTAGCCCAGTAAAAGACCCTTCTCCACAGCACACTGTATGTGATGGTAGCCCAGTAAAAGAACCTTCTCCACAGCACACTGTATGTGATGGTAGCCCAGTAAAAGACCCTTCTCCACAGCACACTGTACGTGATGGTAGCCCAGTAAAAGACCCTTTTCCACGGCACGCTGTATGTCTTCTTCTTCTTCTTCTTTCGTTCGCATGAAATAAATTGTCTATATCTGCAAAGCTGTCTCTAGTATGAATTTCACTGTCTTTTGTAATTCACTAAGCGGCCCGTAAAGTTTGACTTCCACAAGTGTCTCTTTTGGCCAAAGGTTTTGCCTGAAAGCGTTGAATCTGGGACAGTCTTGAAGGAAGTGATCTGTTGTTTCAGGTGCCAGTCCACAAGTACACATGGCTGATTGGCCAATCTTAAATTTGTTGTACATGTGGGAGCGAAGTCGATTGTGCCCTGTTCTAAGGCGAAGGATAATGACTTGCTCTGGTCTGTCCATAATATGGTAATCATCTTGTGCCAGTTTCGGTGGCATTCTGATTGATTTGATCATTCTCTTCTTCTGTTGATAAGAGACTGGTATGTCAGGTTGTTCTTCAGTTGCACCTTCCTTAGCTAGTTTATCAGCTTTTTCGTTTCCGGACACTGTATGTGATGGTAGCCCAGTAAATTTTTTAAACCAGCTGGCACTTGATGAATGCGGTTTAGAGGTTAGTGAATGTGTTTTGACAATCACTGATGTGCTAGGGTTTGACTTTCACGGTGGACAGTGGTACAACTGGGAGTGACCAGGGGTTCTGGCTGACACTCTACACTCAGAGGAAAGGCAAGACAGACATATAATCAAACTTATTAGCACCAAAGGAACTGGAACTCCTCGCTGGCTGCTAAAGATGGGGATGGAGTGCTTATGTGAATGTTCTGAGTGCTGTTATATCAATTTTTAGCTCAACAATCAACACTTTTCAGTATAATGGCATATACCTTTACCGTCCTGAACACTGCCTGGTACATGTTTCAGAGTGACTCGACAGGTAACATTTCACCAGCACTGGATAAGCTTTCTAATTATGGCTCAACAGGTATAATTTCACCAGCACTGGATAAGCTTTCTAATTATGGCTCGACAGGTATAATTTCACCAGCACTGGATAAGCTTTCTAATTATGGCTCGACAGGTATAATTTCATCAGCACTGGATAAGCTTTTTAATTATGGCTCGACAGGTATAATTTCATCAGCACTGGATAAGCTTTCTAATAATGGCTCGACGGGTATAATTTCACCAGCACTGGATAAGCTTTCTAATTATGGCTCGACAGGTATAATTTCACCAGCACTGGATAAGCTTTCTAATAATGGCTCGACAGGTATAATTTCACCAGCACTGGATAAGCTTTCTAATTATGGCTCGACGGGTATAATTTCACCATCACTGGATAAGCTTTCTCATTAACAAACATTTGCTATGGCTGTAGTTTTAATGGCCTACCTACTCTTTACAATGTAAAATTGTCAGCAGTCACTTGAAATTCTTACCTGGGGTAATGGAATATAGTTCTGCTGCCTGTAGCTTGGCTGATCACAACTGTTGAAACAGATGGCTGCACTGGTTTCATCAAACAGTGAGATGTCTCAATTCCACATTTAGCAAAGTCTTCCTGGATCCAGCTGCATTGCAAAAACCAAAAATAATGAAATTTATTTAATCAAGATCACAGTAAAGTAAAAGTAAAGGACCGTTTTCCATGCCTTTAGTCATATTGGATATTTCCCGTGTGGGTTCCGGGGCCCTGTTATAGGGAAAACAAGAATAGACCCACTGCCTACCCAAAAGCATGTCATAAGAGTCAACTAACTGGGAGCTTCCTTCGAAGTCGAAGTACATCTGCCTGAGAGGCAAGGAACCAGCAGTGTGCATACATATGAGTCAGATCTGTAAAACGGAGACACACGCAACACTCAGGTTCTGGAACAGGACTGCAGTCCAGAAGTGGACGAACAACCAGAACTTTCCGCCAGAGTTGACAGCTGGTGAAGAAGAAGAAGAAGATATTGGAAATATAGGGCTATTCCTATATTTTATAGACCAAACGGGACTTGGTGGGCATCTGTTCATAGGCACACAACCCAGTATTACAGTTAAACATGAACCCTTAACTGGAACCAACATTACTAGAACTGGGCTTCAGAAGAAATAACTAAAGTTGGATCACTAAAGTAACATTACCAGGGATGGAACACAGGAGTAACATTAACAGAGGTGGATCTCATAAGTAATATTTGAGTAATATTATGAGAGGTGGATATCAGGTTTAAGATTACCAGAAGTGGATTTCAGCAGTAACATTACCAGAGATGGATTGCAAGAGTAACACTACCAGAGGTGGATCTTAGAAGTAACATTACCAGAGGTGGATCTCAAAAGTAATATTACCTGAGATGGATCTCAAGAGTAACATTACCAGAGATGGATCTCAGGAGTAACATTACCAGAAGTGGATCTCAAGAGTAATATTACCTGAGATGGATTGCAGGAGTAACACTACCAGAGGTGGATCTTAGAAGTAACATTACCGGAGGTGGATCTCAAGAGCAATATTACCTGAGATGGATCTCAGGAGTAACATTACCAGAGATGGATCTCAGTAGTAACATTACCAGAGATGGATCACTGAAGTAAAATTACCAGAGATAGATCACGAAAGTAACATTACCAGAGGTGAATCTCAAGAGTAACATTATCAGAAATAGATCTCAGCAGTAACATTACCAGAGATGGATCACTGAAGTAACATTACAAGAAGTGGATCTCAGGAGTAACATTAGAAGAGATGGATGTCAGGAAGAACACTACCAGAGTTGGACCTTGGTAGCAACTTTATCAAGTTACACTAAAATTATGTCAAGTTTGCAAGTTCCATCTTTCTTGTGAAAAACTGTATGAATGAATGAACACACTTTATTTTCAAAGGGTTGAGATTTGGGCATGCAGGCCTGTCTAACATTCTGCCCTTCTACTCTCCTTCCTTTTATAAGTAATTTCATTCATATATCAGAGAGTAATGAAAGGTGGTTATATACCTGGCCTCAGTTCCATGGCTTCCCATGACTCCCAGACACTCACAAGGGACAGATAATAAAGACAGAACTGTGCAACTGTTGCTGGCATTGCCTCCCCTCTGCCAGTAGTAGTCCAACCCTCTGATGATAAAAATGAGAAAAAATGTGAAGTTAAGTCAGAAAACTGAAATAAACTTAATGTTGCAAACTTGATCTATTAAGTAAACTCCTTCTCTTTCTCCTCCTCCTCCTCCTTCTTCTTCTTCTTCTTCTTCTTCTGTGCTAGCCCTTGAAAGAGTGGTTGGTACATTATGTTTTGTTGTTTATGGCAAGACTGTGATATCTGTGCTTTTAAGCCCAAAACATCAATGTCAGCAAATCCTTAATTATTTGCCTTTTATGACATGCTTGTTGGGGGTTGGGTTGTGTAGATGTTGACCACATGTAATAATACCAGAACCAGGGCTCATACTGGTCAACTCCTGTCAACATCTCTCTGTGGTCATCCTAGCAACAGGTTTCCACCCAGGCACCTTCCTAACATAGAAAGAATCCTGAAAAACTGGACTACACCTGTCTGAGAGTAGGGAACTAACGGTCTTCACACAAAAAACTGGACTACACCTGTCTGAGAGTAGGGAACTAACGGTCTTCACACAAAAAATAGCCAGACTTGTAAAATGAATGTACATGCAGAACTCAAGTCCTGGAACAAAGGCGAAAAGTCTAGAAGTGAATGAATAACTGGAACTTTCTGCTGCAGTTTACAGTTGGTTGAACACGAAAAAGAAGTGGGGTGGGGGGGGGGGGTGTGGATGGGCGAATGTGTGTATGAGAGAGTGAGACAGAAAGAGACAGTCTATTATTTATTCCGTAAAAGTGGGTTCCAAAAAAAAACTCACTGGGATTAAGTAGTTTCAAGTAATTAACTTTTAGAGTCCCGGGAGTTTCAGAGGCCCAGGGGTGGTCAAGAGGGACGTAAAATGGGCACATGTTGTGTTCATTGGGCTTCTAGGCAGGAACCTGTGAGTGTGTGACGCTTTCCTTAGGACTAAAAGAGTTAAGGATATTTCTAAATACCTTGAGGCATTCAATAGTATGGTGCTAGCCTTATACACACACAAAACTCACACACATAAATATATTTTTTTTTTTGAGTGGCAGGCTCAAGACATGGTATGGCCACTTAAGCTTTCTTTTTTATGTTGTCTAGTGCGTTCTTCTATCTCTACTTCTTTTTATGAGTATAATCTTCTCCTTCTTCTCAAGTTCTGTTCTGCCTTTCAGCATGAGGTTTTGAAGATGCATCGGGTGTGTGCCTTGGTATGTGCTTAGTAGATGCTGGTATTTACAGCCTGGATATTCTATCTATCCATCACTTGTGTGGTGGACCTTTAACTCTGCTTCCATTATGATCAAGTAACAGGGCTTTCCCTGGTTCAGTGTCCAGTGGTAGTCGTGATACATGTCCAAACCATCTCTTGAGTTTTTCATTACATGTTAACTTGTTACCATTCTCATCATTTTATGAACTAAACAATATTTGATTGTCAATGAGGCAAAGATAATTTCCCAGAACATTTCTTTTTCTTCTTCTTCTTCTTCTCTTCTTCTTCTTCTTCTTCTTCTTCTTCTTCTTCTTCTTATTCTGCTTCTTTTTCTTCATTCTGTTGTTGCTGTTGGTCTTCTTTTTTTCCTATTATTCTTCTTTTTCATTTTCTTTTTCTGTTACATTAACTAGCTGTGTCTGGACTTTGATCTTGGTCCACGATGTCTTGTGTACACTTCCCTATTCCATATATGGCTTATAATATGCAGACTACTCGTTCCAGTCTCTCAAATTCCCTGTTACTTGAAAGGAAACATTAATCTCATCAATGTTGGCTAGAGCACACACAGGGAACCAAGCTACAGAATGACCACACAGAGATGTAGATAGATTCTGGCTCTGTATCCCACTTGAACATTTCATGGTATCTAGTTTAGTCTGCGTTGATCCCTGAAGTCAAATTTTATTAAAATCCATCTCAAGAGAAAATCAAACCCCAAACGTGAAGGACATTGTTACAACTGACACACTTGCCAGAAATTAAACACTTCTATAAAACCACTGAAGAATGAATGAGTTGATGGAAATGTATCATATCACTGTACTGAAACAAACTGGATATGTAATACATAGTGGATCTCTGGCTTGGAGGTTAGCCAATATGTTTACAAATGTCACGGCTTTCCAGCACTAGAGTTCAAATTGCGGGGGAGGGGGGAGGAGGGGATGAATTAATAAAAATAAAATAAAAACAAACAAGTTCGCATGATTTTCAAACAGCAGTACGAGAGTCCCACTGTGGAAGAGATTGGGATCTCACCACATAATATTCCCCAAAAGACAGCAGTGGCACACTTCAGCCAACATTCGCTGTGGATACAGCACATTATTTATTTCAAAGTGGGAACCATGATAGTATTGTGGCTAGTATGCTAGCTTACAATGTGTGAGTTGATAAGTTTCTTCTTCTTCTTCACGTTCACCAGCTGTACACTCTGGCGGAAAGTTCTGGTTGTTCGTCCACACCTGGACTGCAGTCCTGCTCCAGAACCTGAGTGTTGCTTGTGCATCAGTTTTACAGATCTGATTCACTTGAATGCAGACTTTTGGTTCCTTGCCTCTCAGGCAGATGCACTCCGACTTCAAAGGAAATTGTTGATAAGTTTAAATCAGCATCAGGGTGGTGATCTATGGAGAGATACGAACGCCAAGGCCATTTAGATAATGATGCTGTTGATGAAGCCTAACCCTGAAGAAAAACTAATAACATTTTAACTAAAACTTATGTGTTTAACAAAATATCACCTTTGATCAGAATCCTCCTCTGGATATTCTCGTGCAACGTTGACAAAATCAAGGCAGATATTTCCCACACATAAAACTTTCTTTTTGTGACTTTCAAAACTGTCGCCTCTTCTACGGCTTGCCATAGCAGTATCGTAGGACGTTTTCAAATAAAATATATCATGTCAGTAATAGGTAATTTAACGGTTAGTTGTTGTCTGTGCTGGTAACGTATACACGCACAAGTGCTTACTTAACGGAAACAGTATTGTTAGTTCACTAGTATTGACATCAGTCGTCTGCTAGTCGGTTTCAACTTCACGACAAATGGGTCGCCCCCTAATTGCCCCGTTTGTGTGCCAACGAAAACCGTATAGAATTTTTATATTATATGCGTATAATTTAATCACAACTGTAGTTTTCTAGTCAACTTGAGATACTTTGTACTTTGTATGAAGACGTCTAAAGTTGAAAGTACAGTCCAAACAACGCCCACTTTCACAGCTTGTTCACGAGCAGCAGTCTACGCTTCAGCAGTAAAAAATAAATGGTTTTAGCTGTTTAGGGCTTTCTAATCAAAGCTGAAATATTTTGGCCATCTCAAGCGCCACGACGGATAAGAAATAAATTACAGCAGAAGGCATGGTACCAGGAAGGAGGGGCAGGGGCCGACCGACACGAAGATGGACACAGGATATAAGTGACTCATTGAGTGTGAAAGTTCATGAGACAGGAGAGCTGGCGAGAGACCGAGTTTCTTTCAGGCAGACTGTGATGCGAGCAACGTTCTGCAAAGGACCTGTTACATGATGATGATTAATCAAAGCATTTTTGCCGGTACATAGTGGTACTCAGTACCGGCACTTTTCCCCCTAAGCATTATGTTTTGTATTCGGCAACATATATTAAACATGTGTTTAGGCACTTAGGGTGTCAGGCTTTTCAGGCTGTAGCCCGGACAGGATAAACACAGTCACACACATACACCGAGAAAGTTATATTTTTTTCCTGCTCTTTCGAAACTGCAAACTTTTTAAATGGCTAAAGTATTTCTGTTTGGAGAAACAAGATAATTTTTTCATCTGTGTTCAGATCTGATAGAAAGTCAGCATTTTCTTATTATAATTGATCCACTCTATTCTAGGAACTGTTAAATTACTATTTCATAAAAGATCTGCTTAATTGGTTTGGGAATATTAGACAGTTAAATCGTCTGTCGGTTTTCAGGACTATGAACAATAAAATTAAATATACAGAAATAAGAAATGACTAGGACTGAAATCAGTTTAATAAAGAGCCAAAGATGAGAAGAAGGTTCAACCATCTGAAGTGGATATCGTGGTATTATCTGCCACAAAGAGATATGCTGAAGAAATATAACAAACACAGAGTAAGGAAAGACAGCGGAAAATATAGAACGACTGCGTGTAGTAGTAGTAGTAGTTATTTTTCCCAACAATATCATGTTTAACCCTCAGAGTTATGATTGAGACAACACCAAGAACGATATCAAGAATTTTCTTCAGAAATAAAGATCAACTTATGAACGATTTAGAAAGAGCAAATACGAGATCATTACACCCCCCTCCCCACCTCGCTTCCCAAATTAGATGAGGTAGCTAGAGAGAGAGAGAGAGAGAAAGAGAGAGAGAGAGAGAGAGAGAGAGAAGGTGGAAGAAGAAGAAGAAGAAGAAGAAGAAGAAAAGAAGAAGAAGAAGAAGAAGAAAAGAAGAAGAAGAAGAAGAAGAAGAAGAAGAAGAAGACCAAAGAAGAAGAAGAAGAAGAAGAAGAAGAAGAAGAAGAAGAAGAAGAAGACCAAAGAAGAAGAAGAATTTTGAGGAAAAGGAGACGATCTCTCAGAAAACATTTGCTAGGACAAAAAGAATTAGGGTATAAGGAACCCACTCACAAATACGGCCATACATTTCGAAATTTCATACCGTGTGGCTCTGGTAATCTTTTATGTCCAGAGCATACTTTCAGGTGTGCTGTCAGTTAGTTTTGATACAAATATTCTCCGTGCGGGGTCTGGGGCCCAGTTATAGGGAAAACAACTTAAACCCACTGCCTACCCAAAAGCATGTCGTAAGAGTTGACTAATTGGGAGCTTCCTTCAAAGTCAGAGTGCATCTGCCTGAGACACTCGGGTTCTGGAACAGGACTGCAGTCTAGAAGTGGACCAACAACCAAAACTTTCCGCCGGGGTTTACAGGCGGTGAACTCGAAGAAGAAGAAGAAGATACAAATTTATCTCCAAGCCACGATGCATAAAATCTTCTCTCTTGTTCTTCTTCTGCCACTCTCAACTCCACATTTATGCTGCCACGACATACTTGTTCACTTCTTATGTCGTATCCAGAGAGTGTGGGTCGCTTCTTTCTGAACTAGGTAAGTCCCCCCCCCCCCCCCCCACACCACCTTTAACCCATCACTCTCTCTGCATGATAACTTCTTTGAAGATGCAGCTCTTTTTTTTTTTTTTTTTTGCGTGTAAACATGTTCCTGGGTATTCTTATTAGAAACACACCTACCCTTCGACCTAATTTCTCACTTATCTGTTTACTGTCCGTGGTGGGAGAGGCACGGATCGGTCAATATGGTCTGGGGAGAATGGCATAGCTATGAGTGACCAGGGGAACTTAGCCGACATTCAACACCCAGAGGAAAGACAGACAGACATATAATCAGATTCTACTGGCACCACCGGAACAGGAAGTCTGCTGCAGTTGATACATAATATATGAGGTAGCTGGAGAGAGAGCGAGAGAGAGAGAGAGAGAGAGAGAGAGAGAGAGAGAGAGAGAGAGAGAAAGAGAGAGAGGGAGGGAGTGTGTGTGTGTGTGTGTGAGAGATAGAGAGAGAGAGAGAGAGAGAGAGATGAAAAGGAGGAGGAAGGACAGAAGAAGAAGACATAACATACTATAGAGACACCACTATCGTCTAGAAAGACGGATAGGTGACAGCAACAACAACTTAGAATGACACCACTGATTTGTAATGTCATCCCTGTAATTTTAGCTAAAGACAATTCTTTGTATTCTCCATATTTGAAATCTTGCCCGCCTACAGGGCAGGGACAGCGTTTCCTTAGAGACTTCCTAAAATTTCAGAACCACTAACATTTACACCCACCCACAGACATGTCTCGACAGATTGATTGCAGATTGGACGGATATAAACATTTCCTGCCCCCAAGCCTTACTTTGCCAGGCTAAAAGATTTTCGCATTCTAATTATATATATATTTTTAATCAAAGCCAGATTTGAGGCTGCTTTGCAGCCAAATTCGTGTTTCATATTCTTCTAGTAACCTGTCATTATTAACCAGGCATAGCACATTACAAAGAATTTTATAACCGACCTTGACTTCTAGTTCTCACATACCTTGGCAGTGTGGTGTCCCCACTTGGAGGGACCAAAGAGGACATTCAGTCACGTCTGAACAAAGCTGGAGCTGCTTTTGGAAGGATGAGGCAAATCTGGAAATCCAACAATTACTGAAGAGGTACGAAACTCCGACTCTACAAGAGCATCATTTTGTCAGTTCTTCTTTATGGAGCGGAATGCTGGAGAAAGACCAAAAAGGATGCACACAGCCTGTCCAACTACCAGCATACTTGTCTACGTAGAATTATCAAAACTTTCTGGCCAGATAAATCTCAAACACTAAACTACTTCAAGTCACAAACCAAGAAACTTTAGACAGTATGATAACCAAGAGAAGATGGAAATGGCTTTGCCACGTAAAGAGAATGAATCCTGATATACCTGCCAAAACAGCTCTCACATGGACACCAGAGGGAAAGAGAAAAAGAGGGGCGCCCAAAAACAACATGGAGACGAATGATGGAAAGTGACCTGAGTGTGGCATCTTTGACATGGAAAACTGCACTAAAGATTGCACAGAACAGGAAAGCATGGAAAGTCCTCTCTGAAGCCTCATGTGCCACTAGGCATAACGAGAACTGTTGACTCCTAGTTCGATCCAGTTTAAAATCGATAGAAAAGTTTGGACCACATTACCAATCAAAATCCTGACTGGTAAATAAAATTTGAGTTTAACACCATACGCTCGGTCAGGTCCTTCTTATATATATATATATATATATATATATATATATATATATATATATATATATATATATATATATATATATATATATATATATATATATATATATACTATACCCTCTCAGAATCAAAGAGTTAGAACTGATATTTCTTTACTTTTGCTGGAATAACTTTCAGTTTATATCCAAATGTTATTGATGTTTATGTTCATGTTGACTGTAGCAAAAGCATTTTTGTTTGTCTGTAAGAGCCTTTATTGTTATATTTAAATAGCACACTTATTTACCTTTAAATGACGTATAGTTCTATAAAATATGTCGAAAATTAATGAAACTGAAGTTTAATTTGTGTATACATCTCCTCGATAAAAACTGTGGACGCAGAGGGACTCCATTCTTGCACAAGAACGGGAATCGCCGTTGACCTGTTTGGCCTATAAATAGAGAAGGCCGTGGCTCAGTGTAGTAATGACACAAAGAGAATCCCGGACTAACTGTTAGCCAGATTTACGGTAATCCCCTCTAAAAAAAAGACCAACTCCAAAATTAAAATCCCAGTATGAATTTTGTTAGCAAATTTTTAATAGAAGCCCTAGCACCAAAAATAAGCCCTGAAAAAAATCTCATCTAGAATTAGAGACTTGTTGCTGAATGGCCAGACACCACTGGTGCTCACTTGATAATTTAGGTCGTAATTTGAGATTCAGAGAGCTATGACGATGACACAGAAAAATATAACAAGACTGTATCTCAGTAAATGTAGAATTGTGTACACAAATAAATATAGATTGTTGTATAAAAAAGGCATTTCCGAAAAAATCCCTAGTGTATTTTTGAAGCAAAAATTACCATCTTCTTCTTCTTCTTTGTTCGCCGGCTGTAATCTACGGCGGAAAGTCTCGGTTGTTCGTCCATTTCGACTTTGGGATTGTACCAGGGCCTGAGTTTACCTGTAGATCAGTTTTAATGGCTTATCTGTGTGCAGATGCACTACGACTTCGAAGGAAGTCCCAAATTAGTCGACTCCTAAGACGTGCTTGTTGGGGAAGCCGTGGGTCTATTCTTGTTTTCCACAA